TGTGTTGGATTTTGAAATAGGTGGCTGTTCTAGTTTAAGCCCACAAAACAACCCAACGTATTGTAGTGCTGCTTAAACTAACAGATTTATTTAAACTTGAGTTTTTGTAGATCTCCCATGTTGTTGTTTTTTTTAAAAAAATGAGTAGCTCTATGAAGATTGAGCATGCTAATAATAATTGGGAGAAATTGGATGATCTCTTTCCAAGAGATCATACTGTGAAAACTTCTATTTCAATTTTTTTGTAAAAAAGAGTGAAATTCCTTTTGTGAACAGGATGATGCATTGCTCTGTTTTATTTCTCAATAAGTAAATACCATTCATGTACACATTTTAATTGTAGATTCAATAAGCAAGTGTTATGTAAAACACATAGTAAATTGAACTGTTGTTTGTTTGAATGAAAAAATGCTTATTTTTATAGTCAATAACTTCACCTTAAAATAAAAGGAGTATGATAGAGGATGATGGATTTTGTGACAGCTGTTTATTGTATCTTGCATCACTTAGCACATTGTTAAAGAGCAGTAATTTCTCTTTATCAAGGTTTATGACTTGTACAGACAGAAACTAATATTCATGTATATGGGAGTTGATTTTAAATTTAAAATTATTGGCTTAGTGATATTCATTGCTGTTTGGTGTTAAGGCTGACAAAGGAATGTTATCTTTCTAACCTTTGATATCTGTTTATATGTAATTCATGTAACCTCTAGTTTTAAAAGTATTGTTGATCATTTTATTTCCTCATTAACTTCCAAAATTTTCAAAACTCAACTTAGGAAATGATTTTTTTAAAGATCTGAAGAAGTGTTTTTCCGATAACCTGGAAACAGCTTAATACATACATTTTTGTGAAGAATATACGTCACACCATAGCTTTTTGAAGGCCTGGAGAATAATGAGTTCAAAAACATTTATATTTTTTTCTGTTTCCCCGCAAAGAGAGGTGTTCTCCCCCCCCCCCCCCCATGGAAATTAAATACTAAGATCATTTCACTTGCTCAAAATGCCACAAACTCTTTGTTTTGATAGCTTGTGTGAAATCAAGTCTACCAAATTAAAGGAGGTTAATTTAGGGGCACACAAGTAGATACATACAACACTCAAATCTAGATGGATAAGTACACCTAGATACCATCATCTTTATGAGGGGAGCCTTCACTAGTTGTGATGAAGAAGCTTTGGAAAGTGCAGTATTATCAGTGTTTACTTAAACTTCATATCCAAATATGCTGTTAGATATGAAGGAGAAACTAGCAACCTCATCATATGAACTTATTTGCCCATCGTACACTGGTTCCTCTCCCTTTTTGCTACGGAGCACATCCCATGACGGATATCTAGTTCTGGGAGGGATCCATGGCAAAAGGAGAGAGAAAGCAGCATATGCCACCATGGCAACATAAGAGGCTTCCTGTCTTGCATTTTCAACAATGGGGGAGGGGGGATCCAGGCGACAAATGCCTCCTCTGTGGGATGGGGCGATGCAGGGCATGGGGCAATAGGTTCCCCACACCCACTCCCAGACCCCCACAAATTTGTCATAGGTTAATGTGATAAGTTCCCTAGTCTTAGAAACTGTATAAAAAGATTTCAGTCCACAAATTATCCCAGCACATTTAAGAAATACATATATTTATCCTTCTTCAAATAGGGTTCAAAGGCATTTAAGCATTAATAATTTTGATACATATAATTTTAATACATAAGAATTAATATGTAGTTATAATGCCTACAATATCTGACTCTGTTGTGTCTTAGGCCAAGGTGTTTCCACTTAACCAATAAAGTTGTGGTTTACTTACTCTAGTGAAGTGTTTATGTATTTGGTTTTCTATTTTCTTCCCCAAACCCCACCCAATTTTTTATTGCTAGTACCACACACGCACTATTGCATACACTTCCCTTCACCTGAGTGCTTGAATTAGCATAGTTTTAATCAGTGTTGTCAGAGAAGAAAGTATTCTTTAAGAATAGTATGTAAAAGCATCACATAAAGGTGGTATTGGTTAGGAAAAAAACAGAAAAACATCATAGTTTACTATTTAGAATTTTGACATGTGATACTGGTATCAGAAAACTATATTTCACACTGGCCCATAATTTAAAAAATTCTCTGCATGAACTGGTTACAGGGTTTTCTTGGCAGCTGCCTTCCTCTGAAGCTGAGAGAATGTGATGTGTATTGTCAAAGGCTTTCATGGCTGGAATCACTGGGTTGTTGTAGTTTTTTTCGGGCTATATGGTCATGTTTTAGAGGCATTCTTTCCTGACGTTTCGCCTGCATCTGTGGCAAGCATCCTCAGAGGTTGTGAGGTCTGTTGGAACTAGGAAAATTGGGTTTATATATCTGTGGAATGACCAGGGTGGGACAAAGAACTCTTGTCTGTTGGAGCTAGGTGTGAATGTTTCAACTGACCACCTTGATTAGCATTTGATGGCCTGGCAGATTTTTGGTGTGGCTTGTTAGTGCCTGAGGGAATCTTTTGTTGAGAGGTGATTAGCTGTCCCTGATTGTTTCCTCTCTGTTGTTTTGCTGTTGTAATTTTAGAGTTTTTTAATACTGGTAGCCAGATTTTGTTCATTTTCATGGTTTCCTCCTTTCTGTTGAAATTACCCACATGCTTATGGATTTCAGTGGCTTCTCTGTGTAGTCTGACATGGTGGTTGTTCGAGGGGTCCAGCATTTCTGTGTTCTCAAATAATATGCTGTGTCCAGGTTGGTTCATCAGGTGCTCTGCTATGGCTGACTTCTCTGGTTGAAGTAGTCTGCAGTGCCTTTCATGTTCCTTGATTCGTGTTTGGGCGCTGTGTTTGGTGGTCCCTATGCAGACTTGTCCACAGCTGCATGGTATGCAGTAGACTCCTGCAGAAGTGAGAGGATCCCTCTTGTCCTTTGCTGAACGTAGCATTTTTTGGATTTTCTTGGTGGGTCTGTAGATAGTTTGTATGTTGTGTTTCCTCATCAGCTTCCCTGTGCGGTCAGTGATTCCCTTGATGTGTATGGCAAGAACATTTTTCCTCTGTATCTTTGTCTTTACTCTTGTGGTTTGTTCTTGGTCTTGCAGCTCTTCTGATGTCTTAGGTGGAGTATCCACTGGCCTGTAAAGCCCAGTTTAGGTGGTTCAGTTCATCTTGGAGGAGGTGGGGTTCAGATATGTGGATGACACTTTCACCATTTGGAGCCATGGAGAAGAAGGGCTAAACAGGTTCCTGGACCATCTTAACAGGATCCACCCAAACATCCAATTCACCATGGAAAAAGAAAATGAAGGAAAACTGCCTTTTCTAGATGTCCTAGTCATCTGCAAACCAGATCAACAATTGGGTCACACAGTTTACAGAAAACCCCCACACACAGAGAGATATCTACATAAAAACTCCAACCATCACCCAAGTAAAAAAAAGATGCACCATTAAAGCTTTGGCAGACCATTAAAGATGCACCATTGAAGCTTTGGCAGACCGTGCAAAAAGAATCTGCGAATGTGATGTGTCCGTGGCTATCCAGTGTATATTTGTTGATTGACTAGGGATTTTAGTCCTGTTCTAGTTGTAGTCTAATGCTCAAATCACTTGCTCAGTGTACATGGTGTTTTACAAAGAAAAGAACAATAACAAGCATTTTAAAACTGCAGCATGCTTGTGAAGTCTACATATAGAGACAGTGCTTTATGTAGAGATTTAAGTTTTATATAAGGCCTGTGTTTCCCAGTTATGAATTGTCTTTCCCACCAGAGTCCCAGCTAATGCTAAACCTGCCTTCATTTGAATGGTTGGTTTATTTTCACTACCTAAAGCTTAGTTCCGGTTTGCTGTTGCCCATTTTATATTAACAATAGTTTATGAATAATTATTTCATGTTTTACATTGTACTTATCAACTATATTCTCTCTTGAGATATAATGATAGATGGTTTAGGAATATGCTAATAGATCTGGTACTAGAAGAAATTGTTAGAGTTCAGGTTTCATCTCATATTTAGCTTTATTTGCTTGGGATGCTAGATGATCAACTCTATAGAAAATCTTGAAGACTAATGTTATATATTACTACGGCAGCGAGAATCATAGATGATCAAAGATGGAAAGAACCTATTGCCCCAATGCAAGATGACCGGCTTACAAAGATGTGTGAATTAGTGGAAATGGACAAGCTCATGAAGTTGATTAAAGAGAAATCTCTAATCAAGTTCAAGAAAGAATGGGACTTATTATTACCTTCCTTCAGCAAAGATGAGGTTAAACCTGTATTATGTGTGTGTTTTTTATTAGAAAAGTGTCATTTTACCAGGAAATAATGCATTGATGGTTTTTCTTCTTTTATTGAGGATGAAAAATTGAGAAAATAAAACCACCAGGCAGAAAGTGTTAAAGCCCTTAGAGGTACTGTAGATTGTCTGTAGTTTATGTTTAGTAGTAGTGGTAGTTCTAGTAGATATAGAAAGTAGATTAATAAAATTGATCTTTACTGTCTTTATTATTATATTTTGCCTTATACTTTCATTTTGTCTGTAGGTTTTGTGTTAGCATTTCTGAAAAAACATTGTCAATAAAAACAATCAGGAATATTCTAATAAACAAAGGAACCTTTTAGAAAAATCTTAGCTTATATTCTAGTGTCTTCAAAATAATGGAATGTTTCATTGGTTTTTAAGAATGTGACCTCTTTCAAAATATTAACATCTGATGATTATGTAACCTTTCACTCTTATGTGATAAAATATTAGTGCCACAGTTGTTTTGCAAAGTTGTAGAAAACTGAAAAATCTTGTTAATTAAATTTTATATAAGCTATGAACTAAAATTCCAACCTTAATCAATGAGGGAAAACTGGTTCATTTGTTTTAACTGTAGGTTCTATTCAAAGTTATACTGACACTGTAGAAATTGTTAATTGAACACAATAATAAATGTGTTAAATATATGAAGTTTTACATAACTTTGTTTTCCATGAAAAGTCATATGTGGCTAATGTCCTTAATAAAATGTATGCAGTTTTGGTCGGCCAGGAGTCGAATGCTACTGCCAACATGATAGTGGTGCTGCAGTAATCCAGCTTCAGTTTCTGATCAATGAGGTTGGTAAACTTGTCTTGTTCTTCTGTCAAGTGCTCAGTCATCAAGATAATTCAGGAACTTTAAAATTTACTTTGCTTATTTATTTACTTTGCTTATAAACCGCTGTTCTCAGCCCGAGGGCGATTCACAGCAGTGTACAACATAGAAAGGACAAGGTTCACAAATGTGTAAATAAACTTGCTCTAACGCACATTACTCTGCATATAGAAAGAATACATGCATTCAAAGCAGCCAAAGGGAAGTTGCTCCATGAAAATAGCTCCAAAGAAATCAATTCTGAAGGGTTGAGTTGTATTGCTATTGAAATCGAGTATCTTTTTTGTTGATGACTGCATTCAGATGGTAAAATAGGTTTCACTGTTAATAGAACAGACTCAAGTTTGAACATTTTCTGTATATGAATGAAAGATGAGGAACTTCAATTCATGATTTGCTATAAAAATATTCTGTTTTGTTGAAAAGCAACTTTGGGGTTCTGATTTGTAGCCTCTTCCTATTGATATTATTGAACAGGTATAACAGGGAAAAGGATGTTTTATATCTTAATCCATCTTCAGTGATTCATACAGGGTATAATACACAAAATGTATTATGTGGAACCTTAAGGTTCCACAAAAGCATTATATGAAATCCATGTAAAATGATTTTTTAAAAAATAAAATCTTTTTAAAAGTCTGTGCCAGAGAATGAAGATCTTATTAAAATTCTGTGTACCTCTGCTTTAAAAACAAAATTTGAATCTATGCTACTGAATGACTTTGAGCAGGATTGATAGGCATATACCTGTCAGTAGCAGAAAGGCTGTCTGAGCTCTGCTCCCCTTTGTGTCTTCCTGTCAATGTGAATCAGGTTTTTCAGCCTATGTTTACATCAAAACCAAATTGAGGAGTAGGTTGGATGCCACCCTGGGTTTATGTTTTCATCTGTCGAACCTAAAGCCCATTTTAAAAACTATTTTAAATACAAAAATGAAACAATTTCATTCATCACTTTAGGTGTGAACTGAATATTTTCCTGTACCAAACTAAAAGTTTGTAGTTACATTTAAAATGTTTTATTTTTATTTCCTAACATACTACATTAGACAAAACACTCAGGCGATAGAAGTAGATGAAAATAGGAAGAACTGTGTCGGTTTACAATGCTTAGTAACAAAGTTACGGTTCTCGGGGGGGAGGGAGGTCTTTTGAAAGGTTTGGGAACCACTGGTATAGATTCTTTTGTGATGCCAGCCAAGCAGCTAATTGATTTGAAAATAGTTATATAATCCTCCTAAAAATCCTTGCAAAATATAGTAGTTCTCCAATCTGTACACATTGTCCTGAAAAAAAAATCTCATTTTTTTTTCAAGGGAGCCCTTGTGAGTGCCTTGGCTGATGATACCTTACACTTATGGAACTTGCGACAGAAGAGGCCTGCTATACTACATTCTCTAAAATTTAACAGAGAAAGGTAAGAGTTACTTAAACAATATCCATTCAGATTGGCAGAATGCATGAGATACTAAGTTGCCCTTCAGTGAGCAGATGGCATATTTTTTTGTGCCCAGTTTTGTAGATTCTTGATCATAGATTTCTACAGTTTGGCAGTAAGGCAAAATGGGTCAGGATGTCACTTCCTTTCTGGTTTGTTGGAGAAAGCAAGAGTAAATGGAAGAGAAAAGATTAGAGGAGAAAACCACCTTGCAGTAGTTGTGGTAACAGTTCCCTGGTTGTGAAGTCACACTTTCCCTATAAGCCTAATCCAGAAACACATGATGGAGAGAGCTGGAGAGAGAAAGAGAAAAGGATTCATAAAACAATGAAAAAAGGCAAAGAATTCCAAGTGACAGTGAAAGCAGTAGAGATAATATAGATTCTGTACGTTGCTGCTACAATCTGCTGTTGTTTTAAAAATTGCAATGGTGGCCTTTGGATTCCCACGCTTGTCTTTCAGGCTTGGTGTTTCTCAGCTGTGTGATTGATTAGTTTCCTTTATCATGTTTTGCATAACTCTGTTGAATATTTGAGAGAGTTTAATTGTGGATATTAAGAGTTGTTAATTCTGTACAACTCAGTTTAGAGCTTAAGAGGTACAACAGATAACTTTCCTCCTCTGCTACTGTTCTATTTTAAAGATTAGATTGATAAAGACTAAATGATGAGTACTGCTGCTGTGTTTGGATCTATTTATAGGGAGTGACGGAGAAGTGTGAAGCCTAGCTTGATGCTATTAGTACATTAGTTCTTGTTCATTGAGTGCCAGCATGATGTAAGAATTTGGGTGTTATACTACGGCTCTGTGAGACCAGAGTTCAACCATAAAAAATCACTATGGGCAAGTCACACTCTCTCATTCTTCACAAAAGGCAACCACAAGTTTCCTCTGGGAAAAAATCTTGTTAAGAAAGCCCTATGATGGCAACTCTTGGATTTGACATATACCATCAACAACTAGTAGCTTGCTGCCCAGCCTCTCCTTCTTTTTAGGAGTGTGCTGCAGGCCTGGTTTTTCTTGTTGGTGATTGTGAATCCCTTTTGTATTCCCAAATCCTAGATACTAGAATTCCCAGTGCCTTGCCTTGCCTTGCCCTGCCCTGCCTTTTAGCTTTAGGGTATCTCATTAGCCATGCTGATATCTTTGTACAAGAAAGTCAGCCAACTAAGCAGTGGAGGTACCAAAATGACATGGGATATCTTAAGGCTGACTTACTATAGACCCAAGACCAATGTTTATGTAATTAGAGCAGTCCTGTAAGCTTGTTTGGTGGAAAAATCAGTGGGTGTCTGCCCCTCCATGTTCCCTATGTCATCTGCCTGGCTACCCTTTTGATTGCCTTCACACACACACACACACACACACACACCCCAAATTCCCTTAAAGCAGTGGTTCCCAATGCATGGCCTTTCAAATGTTTTCCACTTCAGCTCCCAAGAACCCCTGACTACTGTCCAAACTGGCTCTGCCATCTGAAGCTGATGTCCAAAACACCTGAAGGACCAAACCTTGGAAACCACTGCCTTACAGAGATGCCCAGACTGGAGGTCCCATCTCCCCTCAAAATGGATCTAGTCACATCTCAAAATTGCCAGTTATCAGAATTGAGACAGTGCAACAATACCGAAAATGACATTTAAAGCCTGAATAAAGACCAAATTAATCTACTGACTGCCAACATGGGCTAGCTGTTTTTACATTTCCCCTGAATGGGTCAGAAGGATAACCTACCTTCCAAGTGATTGCCTGCTTGCTGGTTTCAGTGGGAGCTCAATATTGCTGTCTTTGCCCTTGAGAAGGAGACAGCACTAATGAAGAAAGATATGGGGGAGGGGGGAATCCTTGCCTCTCACATTTGCCCACAGTAGTAGCCATTGCTTCCATTTGTAAGTATACATTTCCTACAGGAAGAGGAGAGCCTATTTCACTAGGAAACCTCAAGTGAACCTCTAATGACACCTCAGAAGCCAGTAAGGAACATACTCTGAATTTTCTAGTATTTAGAAATTTGGATTGTTATACTCTGTGTTACTTCATGTTCTTAGCCGAGAATGTCCAGTAGTCCTGGATAACTTTAAAAGTATGTGAAAATTAATGTAACTGTTACCACTCACATAATGTCTACTAATTCCTGTAGTACTATGCTATGTCTTCTGGACCAAAAATATTCTATTTTGTAAATATAAATAGACAAATAGCTCTTGTGCTAGAATTAAGTCACTGACTAAAATCCAATTCTATGGTTTCTGACTCATCACTTGTCCTTTAATATATTTATAAAATATATTTCTAAAACAACAGATAATTTCATAAGCCTTCTTAAATGAACTATGTTCAGACATACTACTTAACATCTTTCTGTACTAGATGGCTTGCAAAAATAGCCAAATAAACAAGTTAGGTTCTTGGTTGTCATGTGAAAACAGCTGTATAAGATTAGAAATCATTGGACATATGTGGAAGTGATTATTTGTTAAACTTTGTTATATTGTAAGAATTTCAAAACATCAGATATAAGAAATTGAGACTTTTAATTCTTTATGATTGAAACAAAAAATTAAGCTGCCCCTGAACTCCTTGAAGGTGTCTTCCTCTTTTTCTCCTCCCAGATTCTTTGTATGCAAGTTATTGCAGGTAATTTATTGTGTGTCCTTGATGCTGACATTGATTTTCTATAGTTGGAGTGACTCTTTTTTATCACAGAAGATTTTCAGTCCGGCAAAGCACCCTTGGCATATTGAACACCTGAGGGACTATGTTGTAAATGCCAAAGAGAACATGGACCAATCCAGTGACTTGCACAGAAATTCAGATACTGAAAATGAATTTTCCTTTAACTCCCTTCTGAATACAATCAACTCTTTACAATCAAAATAGTTGGGTGCACAGAACCCCTACAAAAGTGGGAAAACTCCACCACCTCCTAGCTATCTCTAGGTCCTCTAGCATAAACTATACTATATGGTCAACTTGTGCCAGAGAAAACCTTTAAGAACCTAGAGATTCCTAGAAATAACATTTTAATCAAATCTGCAGATAATCAAATCTGCAAAAGTCAAATCTTCAAACATGGGGGCTCAGCTGTGTAATACTCTACTTTAAGAAATGTGAGAAAATTCGTCCAAAGGAGCACAACTGGTAAAAAAAGATGGGACTGTGACCTAGTTTACAATATTTCCCATTAACTAGCACTGTACATAATTTGATAAAGACACATCATAAATGCTTGACTATAAATTTTTAATAAGTCAATTAAAATACTCTTCACTCCATGAAGGAACTTCCAGAAGTTATTAACATAGTGGCTTAATGTTAAATTTAAAAGATTAAGTGCATGTTCTTGTCTATATTAAAATATTCTTTCACACCACTGCTTTATGTTCCCAAATAGCTTTTCCTACTTAATATAGCTTTTGTGATCATTTTAGTTTTTTGTTTCGATTCAGTTCAGGTGACACCCCAAATCAAAGAAACAAACCATATTTTGACTTTTAAACATGAAGGAAAGTCATGATTTAAAGCTTTTCTTCTTTCCTGTTTGCTATGTATTCTTAATTGTAGGTGTTTAATCTCACAATAATTTCTCAATTATACAAGTTATTACATTTATATATTAATCATAGAATCATAGAGTTGGAAGAGACCTCGTGGGGACTCCAGGCCAACTTCCTGCCAAGAAGCAGGAAAATTGCATTCAGAGCACTCATAATACTTAAGTAATAGATGTACAATCAAATAATAAAAGTCTAAGCAAAATAGAAACAGGACAGAAGTAAAACTTAAAAAAAAATGAAAACAGTTTTTAAAGCTAGATTTCTGAAAAAACAATTCAGTTTTTACCATCTTGAAAACCCATATTTCACTGGTAAGGGTGCTGCTATAGAAAAAAGCCCTCTTTTGTTTATCTGTCGATTTAGCCACTCTTGATGGTAGACACAGTTGATTCTAGGATTAAAGTCTCAAAGTGTAGGCACATTCATATAGAGCAAGACAGACTATGAAATACCCTGGGCTTAAATCATTGTGGTCTGTGCATGTTACATAATACCAGTGACACTTGCTTTAATTATATAATGTATGGATTACTGTGGTGTGCAGTTGAGCCACAATTTGGAATCTTAGTTCTTAATAGGGCTTTGTTTGGAAACAAGTTTGCTTCCCAGCCTAATTTCAGGGTGCTGCTAGTGATTTTTAAAGTCATATTTTGTAGCAGCATATGTGAAAAACCTTTTTGTACAAGAGTTCATGCTTGCTGAGGTCATCAGTGGTCAATCCAATCTTTCTAAATGATTCTAGAAATAATCTTAGTTAGGATCCAAGAGTGGATGTTTCAGGAGAAAACTCCATCCTGAGGGAGGCTCATCTCACCTCTTCTTTTATGACCTTTTAATGCTACACTTTGGGCCATGAATTGTTTCCATACTGAAGTAGCGTTAACATGCTTGCTGGTGTCTGTCTATAAATTATTTTTGGCAGCTGTTTCATCTTATTTTTGTGTCTTACATATGCTTTTCATACCTTATTATATTAAGCCTTTGTACAACCATGCCAGCAGCATTTCTTTTGGAGAACACATAGACAACAGTTGTAGAACAAATAATACATAAGAGCAGAGATACAAGTGTTCCCAGAGGGAGGGGGGAAGGAGGAAGAGGGAAGGAGAAAAAATGGATAGGGTATAAGTAGTAGATAAGGATAGAAATGTAAAAGCTAGGAAAACAGGAATCAGAATGTTAGTGAATATATGGAAATTTTGTTTGTAAAGGTGACTGTGACAATGTTATATTTTACACACACATACACACATACATATATAGGAATGAACATGTGGACATCTATGATTTAACAATATGAACTTTTGTCTTATGTTTATAGTCTTTTGCCTTTCAGTAAGGCTCAATTTACCCTGTCCAATAATACAGTTTGAACTACTTTATATGATCAGTGTAGAATGTATTGCAGTTTTAAATGCTTGACTCTATGACCATATAATGCAGTTTAAACAAAAATGGGGTAGAAATCAAAGACAGATCCAAATGATTAGACTCAGAATAATTTACATCAGACTAGATGTTAGCAATATTGTTCTCAATAATTTCTGAAGGAACTAATGTTCTGAATCAATGTGCTGCATCTGTATTAACAAGAGTAATTCGGCATCTCATGAGCAGGCTTATGAGATCCAAATTGCAGAATGTACATGGGAGAAGAAAAAATTAGGAAAAGCTGAGAACAGATTTGTCAGCAATGCTAAAAAGCTTGCTTCAAAAAGATCCGATACCCGTTTTTTGACATCTTCCAGCATAGCTTGAAGTTACTTCTTACTATGTATCCAGAGTCAGCCTGTCAGGAAACATGAAATATTTTTCCAGGTCTGAATCTGTATTTATTTCATTCTGTATCACAGTGACTTTAGCAAAACTTTTGTGTTGGGGTGTCTAGGAAGGTTTCTTGGTGAGATATACTGCTATATTACCTCCTATAAGAAATTATTTCAGAAGAATTAGTCTTGCTTGGACATTTACACCAAGCATACAAAAGCAAAGAGATTCACAATGGAAGATGATAGTGAATCTGATTCTAATGTGAATCTCTGTTTTGTTGCTTTGTGTTTCATATTTTAAGTCATTTCTGATTTATAGCAACCTTTAAGTGAACATCACAGGGTTTTCTTAACAGAATTCCTTCAGAAGGAATTTCCATTGCATTCCCCAAAGGATGAGGAAGTGTGATTTGCCCAAAGTCATCCAGTGGGTTTCCTTTGCCAAACAAAGATTTGAAATCTGATCTCCCTTTGCCCTAGTCCAACACTCAAAGAACTACAGCACACTGGCTCTCCACAATAGTTGGCATTCTGCAATGAAAATATCTTAAAGGCATCATAGAAGAAAAGAATGTTCATTTACAATTAATGAGCAAATAAAAATAAAAACTTAACAAATATAAGCCACCAAAACACAGCCATTTAAAAATGTGTATCAAAATATTTTGCCATACTCTAGAGAGCTTGGCTTTATTGGAACCTCAGTGTTTAAGATGTTACTGTGAAGTTCTGTTAATGAACATTACTATGTGTTTAATTGTTATTCACTACACTAAGTTCTGCAAATCATGATAAAGGTTTCGCTTAAGTAGCTTTGACAGTATTATCAAAGGAGACATATGGCCTACAAATAGCAAAGGAAATCCTTTGCAAGCCTTTACAAATTGCCTCTCAAGTGACCTTGCCTCAGTATTCATACATTTATGTAAGTAATTACTCAAATCACATTTAGATTCAATAGGAGTTTACTATTGTTTGCTTGAATTAGTGTGGCAGTCCTACTTTAGGTTTACTTTTTCATTAGTCAGGTCCATGCCCACAAACTCTGATTTCAAGAAAAGCTTTTCTTCTAATGAATATTGACTTTTTCTATAATTAGTAGTTTAGTTGTCAGACTTTTTACTAGTTCTATGCTTCCACATAGCAGGTTTGTGCTCTCCTTTATTGTGCAGAATTATTCCGAAGAAATAATAATTTTTTAAGCCAGTGGTGTCAAACTTGTGGCCCTCCAGATGTTTTGGACTTCTACTCCCAGAATTTCTGGCCATTGGACAAGCTAGCTCGGGATTCTGGGAGTTGGAGGCCCAAACAGCTGGAGAGACACAAGTTTGAAACCTCATTTTTTCTTGATTTTATTTCTGTATCTAAGAAATAAGCCTTTTCTTTTTTTTTTCTTTCATTAAGATTAAAAAAAATAAAATCATAATTTGAATTTAAGATATGTACATTTATGAACAGGAGATTGGTAAAATGTCTAAACCAGTGGTTCTCAACCTTTCTATTTTCTTTGCTCTTTTATAACTGTAATTTTGCTACTGTTATGAATTGTAATGTAAATATCTGATATGCAGGATGTGTTTTCATTGTTACAAATTCAACATAATTAAAGCATCATGATTAATCAGAAAAAAATGTTTGGGGGAGTACGGAAAACAGATGATGGGATTTGCAGTACCTTCAACCGATTCAGCTCTGACTTCCACAGACCACTGAGACCTCCACACAGAACTCCCATGTCAAACAAAAAATACTGGAAGGGTTTGGGAGGAATTGACAGTGATTTAGGGGAGGTGTAGTTCACCTACAACTGGAATGCATTGTGAACCCAAACAACTATGGATTTGGACCAAACGTGGCATGAATACTCAATATGCCCAAACTGGTGGAGTTTGGGGAAAATAGACCATGACATTTGGGAGTTGCAGTTGCTTGGATGCATAGTTCATCTGCCATCAAAGGGCATTCTGAACTTCACCAACAATTGAATTAAACTAAACTTGGCATACAGGACTCCCATGACCAACACAAAATACTGGACATTTGGGGAAAATAGACCCTGACATTTGAGAGTTGTAGTTGCTTGGATGTATAGTTCCCATGCCATTAAAGAGCATTCTGAACTCCAACAACCATGGAATTGAATCAAACTTGGCATACAGAATTCCCATGACCATAAGAAAATACTGCAGAGGTTTGGGGAACATAGACCCTGGCATTTGGGAGTTGCAGTTGCTTGGAGATATAATTCCCCTGTCATTAAAGAGCATTATGAACTCCAACAATCATGGAATTGATCTAAACCTGGCATACAGAACTCCCATGACCAACATAAAATACTGGAGAAGTTTGGGGAAAATATACATACCTTGACATTAGGAAGTTGCTGTTGCTTGGTGCATTCTGGAGGAGTCTGGGCCCACATCCGACAGGGAGGCTTGTGCCTCCGGCAAGCCCAGCAGGTAGTGAGAGCCGGGTACGGGAGGATCCACCACGCCACCTGGCCTTACATGGAGCCTCTTGCCTGGCTCACCTCCCTGCCGGCTGGCAAGTGGCGAGAGCCAGGCAAGGGACGCTTTGCGTGAGGCCAGGCCCTTGCGCAAAGGAGCCCTCACCTGGCCCGCACATTTGCCGACCAGTGAGAGCGTGAGGTAGGCAAGGGAGGTTTCGCACGAGGCCAGGCATCGTGTGAAGGAGTGCGAGGCAGGCCAGCGAGAGCGCGAGGAAGGCTTTGTGCGAGGCCAGGCCTCATGTGAAGGAGCCCTCGCCTGGCTCACGCCCTTGGGGGCGGGGCCAAAAGAGGTGGCCTCGCAACCCCTCCGATATAGCTAAATGACCCCCCTGCGGGTCATGACCCCCCAGATTGAGAACCACTGGTCTAAACTGTTGATAAAATTTTATATGGAAGAACAAATGAAAGATTTATGATAAAATGGGCTACCAATTTTTTATATTCTGTTGTTGTTCTTGTTGTTATTTTTGTTTCTCATCTGTAGCCTCCCAAGGCTCAGGGAGTATAACATAGAGTGAAATACAATGTATATCTAAAAACACTTAAAACCATTTAAAACTAATAGATTAAATAATTAAATAATCAGATTAAAATACAAACTATTACACATGATCGTAACTGTAGATAGTTAGAAATTATCTGTATAAAATTGTAATTGTTTACTTACTAGATCTTTTACTTGTTAAATTGTTTCTTATCTAGCGCTTTTTATTTCCCTTTTCCCTTTTGAAATTCGTTGTATTGTCCATAATCTTTTTTTTTTGTATTTTATGTTTTCTTGTAAAGCAGTTGCACTTGACTGTGATTTTTCTACTTGTTTGAAAGCAAAGCACTTTATAAACCAGTGTTATATCTCCATATTCAATTATCTGTTTGGATATATTGTGGGTTTCTGCATAATTTCTCATTTTGGATTATTTTAATTATTTTACATGTTTTGCATCATAGAAGATGGGATAATTATGTACCATAGTTCTGGACACTAGGATTTGAATATTCATTCAGCCATGGAAACCTATTGGTTGACCTTGGGCAAGTCACACATCGTAGCCTCAGAGGAAGGCCATGGCAGTGCCCACTGAACAAGTCTCGTCAAAAAAATCCCATGGTTGGTTTGAATTAAGGTCAACATAAAAAATAACTTCAAGGCTCACAACAACAACAACTTTATCCTTATATCCCACCACTATCTCCTCCAAGGGGACGTGGAGCGGCTTACAATCGTGACCAAGCCCCATAATAACAGAGTTAAATAAAAACACATTTAAAAACGCAGATCAACATATAACAAGCTGATTAAATAATTAAAACAAAAAAGTATTAAAAATTACAATAAAATGAAACCAATCTCAGTATCCAAAAACCAGCGTGTTCCTTTATTAATTCTTACTGTTTGAACTTAAAATTTCAAGAAGTTATGTTTTTGTAAATTCCGTTTTTGTATGTGTTCTCTTTCAGGATAACATTTTGCCATCTGCCTTTCCAGAGTAAATGGCTGTACGTGGGCACTGAAAGAGGAAATATACACATTGTCAATGTGGAGTCCTTCTCTCTCTCAGGCTATGTCATCATGTGGAATAAAGCCATTGAACTGTGAGTATGGTGTAGGTAGAAACACATGATTCATTTGCACACGGTTCAATTTATATGTGTGTTGCCAACTGACAGAACATCCTAAATATAAACGTTTTTGACTTCTTTTGTCACAGCTCTAAAACTTTGGCTACTAATCTGTCAGCTGTGCAGATATATTTAAAATAATACAAGCACTTCCAAAATATAGCTGTCATTACTAGTATGTAGAAAATATTGAGGAGGATTTCATTCTTGTTCGTTAAAGTTCACATGAAAAACATGTATGCCTTTTTATTTAGCAGTAGATCCCAATGTATTCAATACATATGGTTTAGAACATAGTTTTATTGTACATGGTTTCAAGTGTAGCTGTAAATGAATGGCAGCCAGTGGAGCTCCTTAAACAGGAGGGTTGACCGCTCCCTGTAAGGAGCACCAGTTAACAACCTGGCCGCCACCTGTTGAACTAATAGAAATTACCGGGCTGTTTTCAAGGGCAGCCCCACATAGAGTGCATTACAGTAATCCAATCTGGAGGTGACTGAGGCATGGACCACCCTGGCCAGATCCGCCTTCACGAGGTCCGGATGACCTCTCCCAGCCGTTTCATGTAGATGTTAAAAAGCATGGGAGACAGAATGGAACCTTCCGGGACCCCACAGGTCAAAGGCCAGGGGTCCAAGCAGGTGTCCCCCAGCTTCACTATCTGGGAGCGGCACTCCAGGAAGGACCTGAGCCACGACAAAGTCGTGCCTCCAAGGCCCAACCCAACCCCCTGCCAAGAAGCAGGAAAATCACATTGAAAGTATTATATATATATATCTCACTTCCTGTTGTCTCGCCCCCATTCTTACCTATAGGTCATTTGTAAGTCTGATGTTTGTAAAAAAAAATTATCCTCAACTGGTACTCATCACTAGTCATGGACAGGATGAAGGCATGAAAATTGAAGACAGGGTTGCTCCATCTTAGTTGAAAAGAAAATCAAAATCAGGATTTATCTAGATAGGATTGCATTTGCTGTATAGGTCCATTGGTCCTGGATTCAACCCAGAATCTGAATGCTTAGGAGTGTTCGATAGTGCATTTGCATAGTTTGCCTGCTGTACTCAGACTTTAAATATTAAATTTGGCCATGGTGATATGTGTTTTAGGTATATCCTGTTTGGATTACTGTAACACACTCTATGTAGGGCTGATATTCTAGAGTGTTAGGAAACGGGCTGGTCCAAAGAGCTCCAGCCCAGTTGGGCTGGCAATAAGGAGCACACAACTTTCTTGTTGAAGCAGTCTCAGGGCACAGATGAAGGTGTGACTGATTGCTTATAAAACTGTATATGACTCAGGTTCAGATTATTTGGAGGAACCTACTTATATTTAGAATCTTCTGGGGGCAGGCCTTCTCTTTGTCTCACCACCCTCGCAGGTATATTTGGTGGAAACGCAGGAAAGGGCTTCTGAGTTACTGCTCCCAGACCCCAGAACTCCTTTCCTGTAGAAACTAAACTGGCACTCTTTTTACTGTTTTTCCACAAGTAGATTCTGGTAGGCCTTTGAGAATTATTTTTAGGGAGAAAAGCCATGCATATTGTGCTAGATGTTTATTTGAGTTTTTATGGTTTATGTTTTTAACTGGTTTTAATGTTATGATGATTTAATTGCTCTTTAACTTTTGCATGCTTGCTATGAATTTTTAACTGTGTTTGCCTTAGTTTTAATACTAGGGAAATGGCAGGACAAAAATAAATATAGCTATGTGGCTTGGCTTCAGGCTAGTAGAGCATATCTTCCTCTATGGGTCTGCCTGGTCTCTGAGACTCACAAAAGAGGTTTTCTTCATTCTACCACCTTCACAAATACAGTTGATGGAAAGACCACCTCAGTGGCTTTGGAATTTCCTTATTAGGGCGTTTAAAATAGTCCTCTGTTGATTGTCCTTCCAGTGATAAGCTTTTAAAAAATCAGACAAAGTACTATAAATAATATTGTGTAATTTTAAATGTATGTATAGAGTAAAATTATTAAGCAGTTTGTAGTTTAGTTTGGTTTTACTGCTGACTTTTTGTATGTTTTTTAATTGTAGACTCTTTAATATATGAACTACAGTGAATCCCAATCTTTGGGGAAAGGTATGATGGTGATTGCAACAGCAATATAATGAACAACCTAAAACAACTGCAGCGAAATAAGGAAAAATAATTTGCAAATTTTCTGAAAGTATGCTACATTAATAGATTTGTGAGCTATAAACAGGGTGACTTCCCTGTTTTAAGTTTCTAAAAATAGATAATATTTATATTTTCAGGTCATCCAAGTCTCATCCCGGGCCTGTTGTCCACATTAGTGACAATCCAATGGATGAAGGCAAGGTATGTTAAAACTTGAAAAATGTTTTTAAAAAGCTAGATGTTTACAAGAATATTGTATCTTAGCATTTAAATATTTCAATGACATTTTAAATACAGTTTGCTAGCCATTTGTAAAAATAAATATGTCAAGCTACCTGTATTCAGTATGACAGTTCTTGTAATTATATATATTTATATAATGCATTTTTGTAGAAATAAATACTACAAACAGATCTGGACAGACATGTGATCTGCATTATATATCTAAACGCTAGGAAGGGAGATTGGATTTAGATGACTTTTGAATAGAAAAACTATTGGCAGTGAAGGGTTTAAAGATCCTGTTATTGCTTGTAGAATGTGATCCCACCCCCGCCCCCCACCCCCAATTTCCTTGTATTTAAAATGACATTGGAACACTGTTAGAAGAAAAGGGTGATTTCTGTAAGCTCAAAGAAATATTTCAGTCATCCTGGACTGTAGTTTTCAACATGAGGTCCACAGACTTGGGGAGGAGGGCTCAGTGTCAATAAATGTTATGAACATATATAGTTAAAATATAAAGAATGTATGAAAGGGAGGAAGGTTGATAGTCAGACCTTGATACTATAGAAAACTCTATGTGAGCAGAGAATTGTAAGTGAGGCTTAGGAGGTCTGGGAAAGCAGAGCCAGTGCCAGAATGAAGCAGGGCCGTAGGAGGGGCCTGATGCAGAGCTAATTTTGAAGCAGAGGGGGCACAGAAAGAGTGCAGCAAGCACCAACTCCTTAGTACAGACAGATCCCGAACTCTGATGGCCCATAAGTATGCATGACCGCATAATGCCTTCACGTTGCTGCCTGGCTTGAAGCCAAGTGAAGGTCTACATGACTTGAAAAGATGGAGAACAATGCCAAGAGACTACAGTTCCCATTATCTTCCAACACACTAACTTGGTGGATGCTAGTATTTGAAGTCTGGAAATGTAAATAAACCAGATTATTCTAGGGTCTGAAACATTTGTTTATTTCTCCCTTCTTTCCTGATTTGAATGCCACTGATGAGTAATTTTAAATATTTGCTGCAATTTAGGGTTTAAATCTTGAATGCAGTGGTCCACTGCAAGACAATGTATTTGATAAAGAAAAACGTTAAGAACTGTCATTTAGGATGCATTGACTACTGTTCCTTCACAGAGAGATTCAGTATTTTGTTCTAGTAACTTCAAATATCATGGTGTAGGAAGTGAAAAAAAAAGACCTAACTACCTTAATATAGACGCTTTTGAACTGTGGTGCTGGAGGAAAATTTTGAGAGTGCCTTGCACTGCAAGAAGATCAAAGCAGTCCATACTCCAGGAAATAAAGCCTGATTGGAGGAAAGGATATTAGAGGCAAAGATGAAGTATTATGGCCACATAATGAGAAGGCAGGAAAGCTTGAAGGAGACAATGATGCTGGGGAAAATGGAAGAAAAAAGGAAGAGGAGCAGACCAAGGGCAAAATGGATGGATGGTATCCTTGAAGTGACTGGCTTGACTTTAAAGGAACTGGGGGTAGCCATTGCCAACAGGGAGCTCTGGTGTGGGCCTGGTCCATGAGGTCACAAAGAGTTAGACGCGACTGAACAAATAAACAACAACACCTTAATATAGTTGGTTGATGTATTTGAAGCTATATAATGAAATTTTTATCACAGCCATTTAAGACACACTTGTCCAGAATATTGCAAGTGGGCACTGGTGGGTGGGGAGGGTGTCCCATACTAAGCAGCTTCTATTAGTAAACATCAGTATTATTACTATTATGTTTATTTATACCCTACTTTATTTCTCCGGAAGAGATAAAGCAGGGTATAAATAAATATAATAGTAATAATACTTAGCAGCTTAACATAAAAGCAATAGTACATGATTTCAAATATACAAACATTGAAACAGAATGAAATATAAACAGTACTAAAAATTCACAGTTAAAAGCCATTCAAACATATGCAATACATATTCAAGTTAGTAAGTAGAGTTATCTCTATGCTTTACTTGCAGATCTACTGGAATCTTTTCAAAATTAGCTATTCAGAAAGTTTTTCTCTTTGGTAGAATATTTTTGGTAGAACTCAATCAGGCTCTTCATATTATTGTTTTAAATCCCTAACTCATTTTTCATTCAGCATGTATCTTTTCTTATATTTAAGTGGAAACACCTACATTTGCTGCCATATATTTTAGAGACTGATATTTCAAATACCATTTCACCAGGAAAATGGCAATTCCTGGCAAAGTTCTCTGAGCTTTTAAACTGTTATGCAAGCATAATCTATTGAATATTTGTTCTTACTGTAGTAGCAGCTTATGACACACTGATGTTCCAAAAATACTTGTATTAAGCCTGTACTCAAAAACCAAATGTTTTCTTTACCTTTCCATTTTTAGTAATTCAAGCATTCTACCAATGTGAACCTTTGCTTGTGGTTGATAACATCAGACATCCCTCCATATGTCTAATTTTACAAAGTAACCAGATTAAATCAAATTTAGCATTTTATAACATTTTTGTGATCAGGGTTATGATAAATGTAAGACTATCCCCTTTAATTCTGTATTAAAAATAGGTCTTCATGATAGGGGCTTACATAATGATAATTTTGGGTGGGAAGTATGGCTGATTGTTGGAGATTATTCCCGGTAGATGTTTTGTAAAGTCTGAGGTATAGTTATAATACATTTCCTATCTTGTTCTTTAATAGCTATGGTTTTTAAAAACAAAGCTTTGAATTATTTCACCTTCTCCAGTGGCAGTTCATTATGGTCGCCTACCAGTGCTGAATCTTTAAAGTTGTCGAGTAAAAATGGTTTTGCTTTCTAAATAATATGTGCATGCACACACACACACACAATCTCTTTCTCACACATACACAGAATATTTATAAATACCTTGTTTTGATTCATTTCTTTAATTGCAACTCTACATATACTACTTTGTGTAATATTTAACTCCATAGTAATAGACAATGATATTTGGAAAGGCATCTGTTGTGAGAATATTACACCACTCAGTAGTGTTACTGTTTTGAACTTAGAATGTTGTGTTATACACACACACACAAACACCTATATACCTATATATACATACACACACAAAGTCATTCAGTTTTAGAAAATATCTTCCAATTTATTGATCTCTACTTTCAATTGGGTGCATAAATCTCTTTGGACCAACTGAAAAAGTAAGGCACTAAAAGTAAAATGTTCCAGAAAAGAAAATAATCATGGTGGAGTCTTAGTTTAATAGTTCTGGTCTTCAACCTTGGCAAAAATCTCAGCATCACTCTCCAATCACATTGGTTGTAGGGAAGAGGATGAAGTTCTTTTTCTTGTCCCTTTTTTAGGAGGAGGAAATGTTTTAGAAAGCATGTTGGGACTGAGCGATAGTTTTGTATTTGTTGTACACACATACACACATACCTTGGTTCTATCTGCTTGTAATTTGTCAGTACTGTGTAAAGGGATTATTTTGTATCTTGATTTTGTGTTCACATGACAAAAACAAACAACAAATAAAAAGTATCTGTTTTGTCTTCCAATACAAATAAGTGAGAAACAAGACAATGTGTATTTGAAAATTTTAATTTGGTTCTCAGTTTGTACAAATTAGGCAATGGTCTGCCCCAAACAAGTCAAATCCCTGAATTGAATAAGGGGATTGCCTTAGATACATGGAGTAATTGAAATATTTAGTAATCTATCTATGAACTTAATTGGTATGGAATATGATATACTGTGACTGGTGATAGTTCAGTGTGTCTGAGTTGCTCATTATTCTTCATCCACTTGTTCTGAGCAAAGTACTTTAGTATTACACACCACATTTTACCCAGTGGTAAATTAAAGATTTGCTAGTCAGTTTCTGTGTAGGAAGAAAATAAACTATTTTAGAGAGAAGATTGGCAGAAAAGAAAGAAGACAAAGATAATTTATTTCCAAAATCAACTTTTTTACTTTTCAAACTCATATTTCAGAGTAATGCTCAGATTATGCATGCAAAATCTGTTCCGTACATGGCATATGCTTCATACGAATGGTTCACCACAAGCTGGTAGCTTCAGAATGAGCTGAAAGGGCAGCTGTACACCCTGTACCAGTTTTCAATTTTGTGTTATAGCTTTAATACCTCTTCTGTGTTCCATCTGTAGGTGGATTGATATTGCTGTGAACTGCGAAGCAAATCAGGGTGAAATTTTATTTTTTAAACAGACATGTGTTTAAATTGGATATCACAATATACATTCACTGTGCAGGAGCACTCAGTCAGTTTATATATCCTATACTATGTTAAAACCATATCAGAGTTTGATCTATCCAATACCATAGCTGTAGTATTGTAATAGCATTTTTCAGTGTTGTACTTCTATAGTTATTCTAAATGCCACTGTGCCACATGTATAAAGTGCTGGAAGTAACATATTTATTTTCTTCCTGTGGGATACACATTTTCACTTCTGATTTATTTCAGCTCCTGATGGGTTTTGAATCGGGAACAGTGGTATTGTGGGACCTCAAATCCAAGAAAGCAGAGTACAGATACACACATGATGAGGTAATCAGCAGTTGCATTTCTGGGAGACTTTTTCCATCACAATTTAATTCACTCTGTTAAAATTAGTGCAACTTTATATCATAGCTTGGCATTTTTATCAATAGCTGTTGTTTGTAATAGTCTGGAATGTGCAAATGAATACACATGGATATGCGTTACAAAGATACAAACCTAATTCATGATGATGAAGCATGACAAGAAGAAGGTGTATGCATGAACTAGTTATTGGATTTCATATAATATAGGAATTAAGGAATGGGAAGCTTTGAGGATACTAATTTTGTACGTTTTAGGTGTTGTTTTTTAACTTTTTCTGTTCTTTAACATCTGAATGTTGTGAAGTGCCAAGAGTATGGAATAGAAGAATAAGATCATTTATTTCCAAAAATCAATTTCTTTGACTTTTTAAACTCATCTTTCAGAGTAGTGCTAAGATTATGCATGCAAAAATAAAAAATAAAAAATCAGAGTATGAAAGGAGTAAAAAACTATGATACCACTTTTCCTCCCATTCAATTCACTGTGGGTCCCACTTTGTTTTTGTGCAATCTTAGAATAGACAAAACTTCTATATAATGAGAAAAATGTTTGTTTTATAGTTATAAGTATATAAATGCCATGAAAATATGTCAAAATAGGCATAAAATCAATCATGTTTGACTGAAGTACTCCTGGGTTTGGTCAAGAAATCATCAGCTAACTAAGTACAACTGTATGTTCAATTAAATAATTTATTTCTGTATGATGAAAAAGAAGGGTACTCTTATACACCTAAGTTCTGTTGTTTGGAAACATTTTGTAATAGTTGCAAATTTGCCTTTTGTGTTTTTCTATTCCTTTGATAGCCTTACATATTTTGTTTCATTGCTGGGTTGTATTTTTTATTTATTTGTACAAAGCAGTATATAAATGGTTGTTGTTAAAGAATATGACAAAATGTTCTTGAAGTTCTTATTAGTAAACTTTGCTCATATTAATGCTGCATTGCATCCATTCTGCATTGCTAGATTCTTCTATTTCATTTCTTACCTCAGAGTTTGGACACAGAGACCCATTTCATTCAGTATTACAAGTAAAGCAATGCATTGATGGTCAGTCATTGCTTTGTACAGAAATCTGTAAGATGTAATCAACATTTTAAGTTTTGACTAAATTAAAAGGGGAAAGTAACTTTTGGGAGGAAAAAATGATTTAATTTTCCATGGGCAGCAATGTTTTTCACTGTGAAATCTTTGCACATGTACTCCTGTTTTGTGTTTACAAGGTATTTTCTGTTTTAAACAAACATATTTCCACATGAGGTATGTATTAAGGAACTCAGTTCGTTAATATCAGCTTTGGCCCTCAGCTTGTTCAGACAGCACAGGGTGCTGTGGTTAGTGTGAGTAATCGGTTTCCTCTGAAGCTGAAAATAAAGAGGAGAAGGAGAATGTTCAAGGTCATGGTTCACCATGATTTATTTTAAACGCAGTAAAGTGAGGTTTCTTCTTTTATCTGTATATCAGAATAGTTACACCCCATCCCATTTCATGATATCTGAGGGAGCCTTGCAATAAATAATTTAAAACAATAGAACACAGCATCACAAACAGAGGAGGGCCCTGCCAGCAAATCTCTGTCCAAATTGTAGCCTGTGATCAGCAAATGACTTTGGGGCCACAAAGAGTGACCGCTGAATCTATCCAAAATTTGAGGGGGTATGGGGTTTTTTAAAGTAGTCTTGGGGCTTTGGCACTTGAATATGGTTCACTGGTTGAAGTAAAAAAATGGTCTCTGCTACTTCTGCAGATACCTGTGCAAATGCTATAAGATGATCCTAAACAGTAGTCTAGCTGCAGTGTACTGTACTAATTGCAGCTTCTGAGGCCACATCAACACTGGCCACTTAGGTGGGTGTAGAGTCTGATTGCCTCGTTGCAGCAAAATGCTACACAGGGAGAATTTGGGGTAACATGGGGAAAGGCCACCTTAATGCAACCTTGCTCTGTGTTACCCAAAGTCAGGGGAAAGTCCAAATTCTGGCCTAGATTTCAGAGTATCCCCCAACTTTGGGCCTTTGCGAACAGCCAATGATGTAAAGCATACAGAAAGAATATGTATTTCCACTGTTTTGCCAACTATTTCTGATTAAATCACATATCCAAATATGGCTTTATAAGTCTACTTACATAGCAGTGGCCAAAAGTAAGCTTCATACACAGAACAACATCCAGTTTTAAGTCAGTGTGATTTAATGGGGACTTTCCACGTTGTTTCAATGACTGTCATTGGGAGCTACTTTATAGGATGCAAACATTAAATCAATAATCTGCAATATCTATTTTTAAAGAATCTTTCCTATTGACCCGCAAAACAGTTTTAAAGTGATATAACCCTTAAGTCGAATTTATTTCAATTTAAATAATTTAATCTAAAGTTGAAGAATGTAACATAAAAAAACTTCTGAACATTTTATAAAATAGTAAGATCCTTGATCAAGAATGCTTCCAGGTTCTAAAGAAATACTTGTATAAAGTCAAATGCAAAATAAAACCTGCATCTAAAGTAGAAATGTTTTCAGCGAGGATTCAGATTACTGAATGAGTCAGCCAGTATATATAAGGACTTTGGCACAGAACTCACCAGATATCCATTAGCTTTCCCAAACCGTTAACCCATTCCTTCCATCTATTATATCTGAAGATCTTTTTGAACTCAATTTTTCCATAAGTTTGTGCTGATAAGTATACCCAAAATGTTAAAAGATAAACTGAAATTGTTTATTATTGTGGTGTCCATTTTGACAGCATTAAAATTTGTGATAGCTTTAAATGAATACATCCCAGATGAGGCCAGTTTCTAACATTAACATTGAAAATTGATCGTATTCAAATCAGATTCCTATAATATTGGATAAAATTCTGCTACCTCTTCCTCTTCTTCTTCCCACTACAGGCCAAGGGCATTCCCCAAAATTGATTTCCAAAAGAAATTTTGAGGTTACAGACTGGAAGGAGAATCTGACAGAAAATCCTGTCAGCATGAAGACTAACACAAAAGCTCTTTGTGCATTAGATCTCACAATAATAATCTTGTTTATTTAGTAAGCTAAAGTATTGGAGGAGAAACACAAAAGATACATGTGGAAAACATTTTACTCCTATCATGAGATAATTAAACAAGTGTTTAAATAATAACTACAGTATATGTAATATTGGTCTTGTAGTAAATAATGGTGGGATTAAACACTATCTAAGTCAGTGGCTTATATACACACACATGCATATATAATCCATGGTGAAGTAGTGGCACCTGTCCTTGGTCAAGTCCTATGTTTAGCGTCTATAAGCTGTCCTAAAAGCCCACCCAGAAGTGATTCTGAGAATGGCAAGTCTGCCAGTCACTCACAGTTGTCACTGTTGTCATGACAGGAAGATTTATATGTTTAGACCAATGGTTCTCAACCTGTGGGTCCCCAGATGTTTTGACCTTCAACTCCCAGAAATCCTAACAGCTGGTAAACTGACTTGGGTTTCTGGGAGTTGTAGGCCAAAACATCTGGGGACATATAAGTTGAGAACCAGTGCTCTAATAAAAGAGCTTCTTTTAGATGGCAGGGAGATGGCAGTTCCTCCCTGACCTCCAGCCCCAAATGCACTGTCAAAAGCACTCTAGATTGCTGCAATGTGGAAAAGCAATTGTTGCTATGTCATGACAGAACCAAATCGCTAAGACAGTATTAATTTACATATCAAGGTAAATTAATTTGTAGTGGGTATTAAACAAATACTCCTAATGCCAAATGGATGTGCAGTGCACTGTAAAGGGAGGGATGAAAACAGAGGTATAGAATTACTGTTTTCCAATGTTCTTGAGGGATAACAAATAATATTTTGGATATAAGCAAGTTGAGATATTGTTTTCTGTGCTTTCTATTGAGAAATTTTGTGGGACAGACTTTCAATGTGTGCATGTGGTAGTTTCACTTTCCTGTGTATTTCAGTAGTGCTAAATGAGACCTTAATAATTTAGTGAGCATAAAGTGCATTTGTTTTCAAAACAGAAAACTGAAGGGGCATAGAGCATCACAAGTCACAATTTAAAGAATTCATAGAATGTCATATTTGAATAAACCTTTTTAAAACAACTTTCAAAAAGCCTTTGGATTTCACATGGTTACTCCATTGGCTACAAATGGAGGCTGAGGTCATTCTCGCTATGACATCTGCTACTTCATACATCAACAAGTTGACTTGGGCAGATTTTCACTTCCTTCTCACATTTCATGTGTCCCTCGTGAAGATGACTATCCCCAATAGAATATTTTGATATTCTGTTCTGAATTTTTCCATAAAATTCTTAGCATATAGAAATATATTCATTTAGATAAAAATATTATAAATGTCTTTTTCTAAGAAATATTCATGTTAACCACTTTTAGAAAGAGTGTAGGAGCCCCCAGTGGCGCAGTGGGTTAAACCCTTGTGCCAGCAAGACTGTAGATGGACAGGTCAAAGGTTCGAATCTTCCAAATGTGGCTGTAAAGAAAATATAAGGAACAACTGAAAAAGAAGCAAAATTGGCAATATTGTCATCTGAATTAAGGCTGCATTTTCCAAGCCTGATAGTATAAGCCAATGGTTCTCAACCTGTGGATCCCCAGATATTTTGACTGTCAACTCCCAGAAATCCTAACAGCTGTTAAACTGGTTGGGATTTATAGGATTTGTAGGCCAAAACACCTGGGGACCCACAAGTTGAGAACCATTGGTGTAAGCTTTTGACCATAGAAAAGCTGTGTGACCCACTCAAGAACAGGAGAGTTGTGTCTATTTATTTACTTATTTATTAATTTAAAACATTTGTATTCTGCCCTTCACAGCCCGCAGGGGACTCAGGACGGAGCACAACATATATACGGCAAACATTCAATGCCAGAACATAAAACCATAAATATACACAAACATTAAAATCATTTGTATCGACTTTAAAATCAATTGCTTAAAAACCATCTCAGGACACCATTCTATTATTGCCTCATTGCACTGCCGCAAATGTTTGGTCCCAATGCCAGTTCTTCACCTTTCTTCCAAAGGACAGGAGGAAGGTGGCTGATTTAATATTGCTAGGAAGGGAGTTCCATAGCCAGGAAGCAATCACTGAGAAGATCCTGTCTCTTGTCCCCACCAAACACACCTGTGATGGTGGAGGGACCAAGAGCAGGGCATCCTCAGAGGATCTTAGTCTTTGTGGTGGTTCTTAAAGGGAGATATGTTCGGACAGGTAAACTGGGCCGGGACCATTTAGGGCTTTATAGGCCAAAGCCAGCACTTTGAATTGTGCCTGGTAGCAAACTGGCAGCCAGTGGAGCTGATGTAACATGGGAGTGTGTGCTCCCTTTATGCTGGCCCAGTTATTAAAATTTTGTTTGTGCCTCGTTTTCATATCTGTTTTGTAAGATTCATACATACAATACAATAGTAAGAAATATGGGCGGCAGTCACACAAAAAACTTAAGATTCAAAACACTGACCCATGTCTGTTCAGAAGAGTTATGTAAGTCTCGTAAATGGCTCCAGGTCTCCATTGTGGGCGCCGCTTCTCCCTCAAAAAGGCCCTGAGGAGGATGGCAAGGCCAGAGTGCAGGGAGAAGCCCTGGTCTTTCCCCAAATATCTCCCCAAATATTCTTTCACCAGGGAGCACTTTGACGAAGGACCAACATTAGTACCAAAAGGGTTACGAATCAGTTTTTGATCAACTTCAGATTCGGTTTGGTTATTTGGTGTGCTGATTCAGAAAACTGCATTGGATAGGCCACATGAGCTCTAGTTTGTGATACAAAACATATGCTATCTAGTAGTAAAGAAATATTTTTGGTTGGGCTGTGTTATTATCCACATGTCTCACAGACTTGATTTTAGGTCTCGCGGCCCACCAGTTGGGAACCACTGGAATATAGTGATCATGACAAATAGTACCTTCAAACTTAATGCATGAGTTGAAAAGAACTTAGGGATAAAGTACATTGCTAGAACTCCAGATCAGATAATGTAATAATCTATGCATTTTCACCACTGTTGTAAGTGTGATTGTAGCAAAAGAAGATGATATAACTGAAATATTTAAAAGGCTTTTTGTTTATTTTATTTGTTTTAATACTTGTACAAGTTTAATTCAATTGAAATTATTTTTTGTACATTTTAAAAGCGTTGCTTATTAAGTTTGAACAGTTTGGAGTCTCAATTCTGAGGGGAAAAATGGGATAACTATAGTAATAATGTGACAATCAAACTGACTGATGTACCCTAAGTTGTTGGAAATACTTGTATATATTTCTCATTTTTACTAGCAATGCAGCAATAATGCTGTATAGTTATGTTAAATTTTTCACAACTTTTAAACAGTAATATGAAGTTATATTAAATAGTATAACAGCTGTATAAAACAAAAATAATACACGTCTTTGCAGAAGAAAACTATTATCAGAACTGTTTCTAGTTTGCATTAAAAACAGTATTATGTAGATTATTTTGGAACATTTAGTATTCATCTTCAATAAATTGTGTAATTCTTTTCTTCTGGTATCTGAGATTATTTGAAACCTTTTTTGCAAGTTAGGTTGCTACATTTATATCTAATAGTTATATCTTAATTTTCTTAGGCAATTCATTCTGTAGCTTGGCATCATGAAGGAAAGCAATTTATTTGTAGCCATTCAGATGGCACCTTGACTATATGGAATGTAAGGAATCCTACCAAGCCATTACAGACAATCACTCCACATGGTAAGCTCAAATGGATGTAGTATCTGATAGGGATTATACACAACACTTTGCTTTAAGCTATAACCCTATGCACACTTGACATAGGGTGAGTCCCATTGAAGTCCCATAGAGTGGTTTGCTATGAAGAATCTATTTGCTTCACAAAATTTAATCAGTCATTCTTCTGCCTAATTTCTTAATCCTAGACCAAGTTTATCTATAGTCTTTAATTCTGCTGTTTTTCATTTCAGTTTGTGCATTGCCATTGCCTAAGATTAAAATTAAATCCTGTTTTGATATGTGAACAGTTTTTTTTCCTGAACATAGTTTTTCATATAACACATAATCTTTTAACTACTTCTAGGTACAAAAACTTGAAATATGGTTATATTGATAGGTTCTCATTAAAGTCTCAATAAAAATACTTGGGTCAAACATTGTGCTTTATTTATCCTTTAACAGCTTTTGCTACATTTCCTCTGTTCTGCTGTCTCCCCGTATCATAGATTTTTGTTTTCTGAGTAAAACACTGTTTCATTAATGAATACTAAATGTCCTACTCCAGTCTCCTTCAACTTACTCACCCCAAATATTGCAGTGTTTTTATATTGTTTCTTATTTTACCATGTCTCCCTTCCCTTATTCTTGCTTGTCACATTCCACCTTCCTATAATATGTGTTGTACAGGTTTGGACTTTTATTTCTGATCACATCAATAACTACCTTTTCTGCTTGAGACTAGTTGTGTCATTGGTCACAGTGCTATACATAATTGTCTTCTGATGGACTCCAGTAGCAATCTGAGTGTCATCCAACTTGGATGCTTAATCTCCTGGATTGTCATATTATATGTTACTCCTGGTAAAGGACATTCAAAAATGGTTTTTTGTGCCTCCTATATGTGTTTGCTATGGTGCCACTGCTGCTGTCTCTGGGAGATCTACTGCCGGTGTCATCCCTTGCTGTTGCTGCTGCCCAGTAGCTGTTTGGCATATGTAGTCTGATTCCTCAGCAAAAGCCTAGCAGCAGCACTGCTACCAACAGCCTAGCCTTTTGCCTCATAGGAATATGTAATCCCAACAACACAGAAAGATAGTGCCATCTGTGGGGCACAGAAGAGTGCAGAAGGTTATTTCAGATTTTCTAATATTCATGGCTTATAAAAGATATATATTGATATTTGCATTAAATATATGATTGTTATAATATTTGTGGTAATCATTGATACAATGTAGTTTATATACATATAAATATTGAACTGTGGATTGTAAATTTTTGATATTATTTTTTTTAAATGTAAATAAAATATTTTGTTTTAGGAAAGCAGGTAAAAGATGGAAAGAAGCCAGAGCCCTGTAAACCTATTCTTAAAGTGGAATACAAAACTACCAGAGCTGGGTAAGAATTACATATAAATTCTTTACTTCTGTTTGAGGATACTAAAATTATGATTCAGACTTGCTAAGTTCTCAGTTTTGTTTAGAAGACACTCCCCTTCAGATGAGGAGAAGTAATATTCATAGATTCCCCCCACACCAGTTCCCTGCTTTACCGATCATGCTATTCATTAGGGTTCTCATCTCTACAAGAATAATTTTTGAAGAAATAATGTGTAAATCCAACCAATGCTTTGCAAGGAAAATGTGTCTGGAATAGCTATTGAAATCTTTTTCTTTAAGTATTTAAACAACACACTATATTTGCAAGCTTTCAGTTTTATATAGAAATCTATTTTGTTGCATACATTTTAAAGGACATGTGGTTGTTAATGTATGCAAGCTTTTAGACAAATGTTATAACTGGAACCAAAGGATAGAAATCTGTTAACTCAAGGCCCTTTATAGAAATCAAAATTACATAGAGTTATGTTAACCCAATGAGAAAAGTTCCTTCCTCCTAGAGCAGATATGGGGACTGTGTAGGTCTCCAAGTTGTGATGGACTAGCATTCCCATCCATCCAGACAGCAGAGCTGATGGCAAAGGAAAATTGGAGTTGCAGCTCAGCAGTAGGCTTGTGCACGGATTTGGTTTGGTCGGTTCCCATCAGCCAATCCGAGTTGTTCAGTTAGATGTAATGGTAAGGGTTCAGCCACCATGTTTATTTTGGCCAAAACGGGCCACACAGCAGCCAGTCACAGCTCCTCCTGACCTATTCGGGATCACGTGGTGTCCGTAGAGGCTGCTGCGTGCTCGCACGGGGTTTCCCTGTGAGCCCTGCTTGTTGGGCCAATCAGAATAGAAGAACACTGTGATGTTTCTTAAACAAGATGAGTCTATTTAATGTGGCAAGCACTTCCATTACTCTCAGTTGTGTCTTGGCTCTAGAGAAGTGGTTCAGTCCAATTGCCTTGCCACTTGCTCTCAGCTTTATTTTGGGGTTGGCTTGGCTTGGCTCTCTAACATTGAGTCTTTTCAATTTGCTTTTATTTTCTTCATTCGTTTAATTTAGAGGGACTGGGAGTTGGGGAAGTGCAGGGTGGGTGGGTGGGGTGCATGTGTGCGTTTGGAGACTTGAGAGAAAGAAAGAGCCTCATTGCTCTTGGTGCGCTTTTCTTTAAAAATATTTGGGTGTCTCTGAAAGCCTTGAATCACCCTTTAGCTTCTTTTTCTCCTTCCCTCCTCCCCTTCAGAAAATACTTTAAAAAGATAATAAGTATTATTAATATTAATAATCTCAACAAACAAACAAAAAAGCCTCATTCTTGGGTTGGCATGTGGGAAGACCCATCGGTGATGGATTGCTCCTCCTGCTATCCTGGAATGAACTTTCTAATAAGGTCAATTTCTCATTCTTATACACATATAGATAGAACAGATTTATCTTAATGTTTCTGTGGTTTTTGCTGAATCATTTGAATGTATGTTGGCATGAATCTAAATGTTTTCATATTATCTGGAACAGAAATTTTCTTTATTCTTCTCATCTCTTTGTGTCTCTTAAAGAAAATTTGCAGGCCTTTTTGCAATGTGTATAAGTGGTCTTTTAAGTTCTGAGGCTTTTATTCTCTGTGGTTCATTGGATATTATCAAGTCCTATGCCACCTTCAAATAATGCAGGTTGTTCAGAAGGTATGCAGAAGGAGTATTTCTTTTGTGATCACAATTAAATAATTTAATGCTATTAGGCACATATTTCACTATGAGAGATCTAGAAAGTGATATGAAGCACCTGATTCAGCAGCATTGTTGACATTAAGCAGATATGGAACTGTGCAACAGTTTGAGTAGGAAGCCAGTAGTCCCCCCTCCCACAATAGGTTCTAATAAATATTCTTTTTTAAAAGCTTCAGATTGAAAATCATGTGAGAGATCTAGCAGATTGAGCATTCCTTAGCCAGAAATCTGAAATACTCCAAAATTGTCTATGAGGATAGACAACGTTGTGACATCTTTGTTTTCTGATATTTCTTTGTACACAAACTTGGTTTTATACACAAAATTATTAAAAAATATTATATAAAATTCTGTTCATAGAATCATAGAGCTTGAAGAGACCTCATGGGCCATCCAGTCCAACCCCCTGCCAAGAAGCAGGAATATTGCATTCAAAGCACCCCTGTTCAGGCTATGTGTATGAGGTATATATGAAACAAAAATGAATTTCATGTTTAGATTTGTATCTGATTTCCAAGATAACTCATTGTTTATGCATAAGCAGATGCAGGTATTTAAAAAATTCAATCCAAAACCCTTCATTACATTCTTTGTTGAAAGCAGCTTTATGACAGCAGAATCATAAGTCTTCTGATGTTACTTTTCATAATCTTAGCTATCTACTTCTCTGTCTTTCTAGGGAACCTTTTATCATCTTATCAGGTGGCTTATCGTATGATACTGTAGGAAGAAGACCCTGTCTAACAGTTATGCATGGAAAGAGCACCGCTGTTCTAGAAATGGATTATTCAATAGTAGATTTTCTAACCCTTTGTGAAACTCCATACCCTAACGGTAAGTTCTCAGGGAAATTTTCTTAACTTCTTAACTTGCTACTTCACTTAAATAATTCTGCTTCTATTTATATCATTGTGAAGGTAAACCTAGGTCTGGCCAGTTCAATGCAGTGTACAGCCATGGAACAGATTATTCTCAGAAAGGCTAAAGGAGCAATATACTACCACTGAGATATTCCCTCATGCATGACAGCTGATCAAGGAAGGAGGCCAGAGTTCTACATCATTTCAGCTGTTACTTCCTTCTCTCTCCCTTTCAGTTTTTCTTGTACTTGCCTTGCCAGGTGGTTGAAAATTACTCTATTTATCTCATTTAAATAACTTGCTTTATCATGTGAAAGGAAGATAGACTGCAATTATGGTAATATTATGAAACCTATCAAAAAAAGAAGAGAAAAATTACTGAATCGGAGAGAGGAGTGCTCCTTGCTCCATCAGATAAAAGGGAAAGGCTGTTGGATGAGGAATATGCCAGTAAAACTGTTAAATTCCTGCAGGCATGCATGCTACAGAGCATGAAAGTGTAAATAAAAGCTCCACTGCCATTCAGTTGGGTGTTGAGTGGCATATCTCTGAACAGGCTGAAGAGTCAATATTAAGAAAGATTTTTATAGCATCAAGTGAGAGTGACATGGAGGGAAGGTCATGCCATCAATGCTCTGATTCGAAAGCAGCAGCAATAAGAAATGAAACATGTAAGGTTTATGAAAGACACTGCTAAAACCATTCAGATACCTGCAGGCACGCAGGCTACAGAGCGCGAAAGCATAAATAAAAGTGTTACTGCTGTTCACTTCTGTGTTGAATGGTGTCCTTCTGAACAGGCTGCAGAGTCAATATTAAGAAAGATCTGAATGACATAAAGTGAAAGCAACTTGGAGGGGAATTTCACCTCATCAGCACTTCGATATGAAAGTGATAGTAATAGTAATATCTAAAACTCTTAAAACAAATTTCAGTTAAAGATGAAAGATACAGCACACTACATACACACACACACACACACACACACACACACACTAATTAATCCATTAAGTTGAAAGCATTGATTTATCTTGCTGTCACTCTTTCTTAAAGGCAAGGTTCTGGAAGTTAATGCTAATGAGTTATTGTTCCTCTGTTAAACTTTTCCTATGAAGTGTTGCAGAATTTATGCCTTTTAACATGAAACCGCTGACAAAGTTATCTGCTCACAACCCTTCCTTTGTGATCAAAAGCTGGGTGGGAGGGGAGCTCTTTGCAACATAGAGAGATATGTTTTGATTTACTTGTGTTTGCTACTCTAATTGATGCTATTCTACAAAATTAAGAAAATGACCTTTAATGCATTTGGCTGTACTTTAATGTGCACATTACAATAATTTCTAGTTGTGTGTGTGTTTTTTTTTTAAATGCACTGTTGAACTAGTTTTTAAGATTCTTACTTGGCTGTCAGTTATTGGTTTCCTTTGTTTTAGGATTGTTGTTTGGAAAGTAGTGCAAGTTGAATCTCTTTATCTGTATCTTCAAAATCAAAATGTTCTAAAATCTGTGGCAGAGATAATGCCTTGTAATGATTCAGTGTAAACAAACTTTGTTTCATGCATAAAACTATTAAATAGTGCATAAAGCTTATTTCAGGCTATGTGTGTATATGAAATATAAATGCATTTTTGTGTTGTGTTTTTATTGAGGCAAACTAATACCTATGCCAACATAAAGACAGATCAGATAGCACACCAACTCTTGAAGAATGGGAAACCCAACCTTGCCACCAAAGTAGGAAAGAAGACAATAGCCAGCCAACCAGAGATCGAGAACAACCTTCATGAACCCTTTACATCTACTGAATTGGGCATGGTTCAATAAATGTAAAAATGGCAAAGCAGCTGGCCTGGATGATCTACGGATGGAACAAATCAAGAACTTTGATCCAAAAGCAAGGTGCTGGCTGCTAGAGCTGATGAACAACTGCACTGCATCCTGTCAGATCCCCAAAACCTGGAAGAAAGCAAGAGTCATCGCCATCTTGAAGCCAGGCAAAGACCGTAATGACCCAAAAAGCTATAGACCAATCTCCCTGTTGTGCCACATCTACAAAGTTCTGGAGAGACTTGTTTTGCATAGAATTACGGAAAAAATAGACCCATGTCTGATCCCACAGCAAGCTGGCTTCAGGAAAGGCAAAAGCTGCACATCGCAAATACTCAACCTGACTCAACACATAGAAGACGGCTTTGAAAGGCACCAGACTACAGGAGCTGTCTTCATAGACCTGTCAGCAGCTTATGATACTGTGAACCACCGCCTCCTCCTGAGAAAAATGTATAATATCACAAAGGACTACCTCACCCGCCTCATAGGAAAGCTGCTACAAAACAGGAGTTTTTTGTTGAATTCCAGAGCCAGAGAAGCAGATGGCGGAAACAGAAGAATGGCCTGCCTCAAGGGCGCATGCTTCCTCCATCAATGTTCAGCATTTACACAAATGACCAGCCATTGCCAGAAGGGATGGAGAGCTTCATCTATTTATTTATTTATTTATTTTATTTAGCAGTTTTGTATACCGGTCTTCTCACCTCCATCGAGGGACTCAGGCAGGTTTCCAACAACAATATTACAAACAATCATTAAAACATCATAATCCAAATTACACTAAAACATTAAAATAGCAAAGTACAGTCATAATTACAGTGGTCAGTCATCCTAAAACCATTGTTCGTCATCATCCATCCATATCACAGGATCTTGACTCATTCGTCGAATGCTCGTTTCCATAGCCTAGTTTTCACCTGTTTTCTGAACGTCAAGATAGAAGGGGCAGTTCTAGTCTCCAGTGGCAGGGAGTTCCAGAGTCGAGGGGCCACCACCGAAAAGGCCCTGCCCCTCGTCCCCACCAGACGCATTTGTGAGGCCGGTGGGACCGAGAACAGGGCCCCCTCCAGATGATCTTAGCAATCTTTATGGCTCATAGGGGAGAATACGTTCGGACAGGTAAACTGGGCCAGAGTCGTTTAGGGCTTTATAGGTTAACACCAGCACTTTGAATTGTGCTCGGAAGCTAATCGGCAGCCAGTGGAGTTCAAGTAACAGTGGAGTGGCGTGCTCCCTGTACCCAGCACCCGTTAGTAATCTGGCTGCCGCGCGTTGTACTTGCTGCAGCTTCCGGGCAGTCTTCAGAGGCAACCCCACGTAGAGAGCGTTGCAGTAATCTAAGCGGGATGTAACCAAAGCATGGACTACCGTGGCCAAGTCAGACTTCCCAAGGTACGGACGCAGCTGGCGCACAAGTTTTAATTGTGCGAATGCTCCCCCGACCACCGCTGAAACCTGGGGTTCCAGCCTCAGCGATGAATCCAGGAGAACTCCCAGACTGCGTACCTGTGTTTTTAGGGGGAGTGTGACCCCGTCCAGCACAGGTTGTAACCCCGTACCCTGTTCGGTCTTACGACTGACCAGGAGTACCTCTGTCTTGTCTGGATTTAGTTTCAATCTGTTGTCCCTCATCCAGTCCGTTACAGCGGCCAAGCACCGGTTCAGGACTTGAACAGCCTCCTTAGTAGCAGGTGGGAAGGAGTAACAGAGTTGGACATCATCTGCGTACAGATGACACCGCACCCCAAAACTCCGGATGATCTCTCCCAACGGCTTCATGTATATGTTAAACAGCATAGGGGACAAAACGGAACCCTGAGGGACTCCACAGTACAATGTCCGCAGAGTCGAGCAGGTGCCCCCTAAAGACACCTTCAGAGATCGACCCTCGAGGAACGACTGGAGCCACTGCAATGAAGTACCCCCAAGGCCCATTCCCATTCTCAGAAGGATACTGTGGTCGACAGTATCGAAGGCCGAAGAGAGGTCCAGCAGAACCAGCAGTTGTTATTAAGTAGAGGCTTGGATGGCCATCTGTTGGGAGAGATCAGACTGTGTCCTTCCTAGCGGAAGGGGGCTGGATTGGATGGCTTTTGGGGGTCCCTTCCAACTCTAGGATTTTTTGGTTCTATTATCATTAGTAGTAGTAGTATGAAGAAGAAACCGTATTGGCTGGCTGGCTGTCCTCAGTCATGATGGAGTTTCCTCCCTGCTCCCAATAGACGCGTATGTTTTCACAGGAGCTTTGATGGAAGGCATTTCCGTGTCATGATGTATTTGAATATATATAATATATATATATAGATGTGTGTGTGTGTGTAATGTTCGTTTGTGGGATTAACATAACTCAAAAACCACTGGGCAAATTGACACCAGATTTGGACACAAT